TTAGCTATTTGATATCATTTAGCTTAGCTATTTGATATCATTTAGCTCAGCTATTTGATATCATTTAGCAAAGCTATTTGACACCAAATAGCTTAACTAATTGATACCAAATAGCTTTGCTAAATGATATTATTTTATTGAGCTATTTGATATCAATTAGTTAAGCTATTTGACAGCCTAATAGTAAAATCGAAATGAAAGAACTTGAGCGTAAAAACATCGACAGTGTCATTCCAGCGGTCTTCCATGTGTTTCATACTGTTCGGAGTCAGGGAACAAATATAATAATAATAAAATACAATGTAATTCTTCTTCTTGTTTCTCTTTATTGTTCTCTCTCTGATGGTCTTATATCAACTAACTACTTAATACTAAACGTCAGTCGGTCTCTCGCGTCACTCTATCGCGTATGCTTGTGCTGTGTATGTGTGCCTGTGCTTATATGCCTGTGTGTGCGTGATTGTGTATGAGCGCTATGTTCTCTCGCTTACGCCTGTGTATGTACGCTTCTAACACTCCCCCCGTTAAAAAGCCTGATTTTTAACTTAAATAAAATAATTTAGCATTGCTTGGGAGTACGCATATTTTTAAAAGTTGCATGAGTGCTTGAAATGCTTTGACGCTTAATATCAGAGAGACCGAGCCCGAAATTCATTTAATTGTATCCTTGATTTCCAGAGCTTTCTTTTTGTTTTCGAATATTATTTGCATTTGCATCGCATCGCATTCCTTGGTTTTTAAAATATCTCTTCTGCATGAAAATAATAATTTTCGCATTTGTTTGGCATCTAACAACGCATATTTTTTTAGTGACTATTACTTTGCATTTGTTTCCACTTTTCTTTAGCTCGCTTAATGCATCGCTTCGATTTAAATTTTATGTACGCATGACTGAGTTGTTTGCTTCTGAACGGGTGAATTCTCTGTTATCCAGACGTTTTTCTTCATGTTGATTATGATTCCAATTGTCTTGCGGTTTACGCTTATTGTTGTCTCTGTGCTGATAACCATGAGCAATTTGCGTTGCATATGCTTGTTTTGGGCATAACAAACTATTATGATATCTGATGTCCGGTTTGCATCTTGGGCATGGATCATTGCATTCTCTTCTAGCACAGGGACCATCGTGATTGTTTCGCAAGCATTTTTCGCATAAATCATTATCTTCAACATGATGTTCTCGCTCAGTTAAATTCATGGCGATAAACTGTTCGCATCTGTATAGTGGATGTATGTAATCGCATAGTACGCATTCTAAGAAATCAGGGTATTCTTCTCTTTCCGCATTGCTTCGACTGTATGTATGCTTATATTGCTTGGATTTATTTGAGTTCGAACGCTCAATGTTTAACTCGCCTCGCTTTTCTGCATGTACACGAATTGTGACTTCGCCTTCCAAAAACTCTTCCAATTCTGACCAGGTTGGAATATGCTTGCCTATTTTGTTTGGATTGTAACTGCGCTCACTATTCGGATTCGCTTCTTGAGCATTTGCTTTTGCCAGAGATGGTCGGTATTTTTCCCATGCTCTGTACGTTTCCATATCCATGCGTTCAATCACATTGAATACTATATATGGATGTTTATCATCGATTTGAATATGCTTGCTGACACCATGAATATGCTTTTGTACGATGTCAATCGTGTCTCGGATCGCTTTGCTGGAAGCATTACGCATTGGCGGCAATTCGTTCATTTTTCGCATAAAGGATTGGACTTGCATATAATCATCTTCATAGATACTACGCAAACGATCCCACGCCTTCTCATAGTTTTCTTCCAGGAGATCCCATTCTCCTACCACTCCGCTTGCTTCGCATTTGCATGCCGCCAATAAATTACGTAGCTTAGTCAATGTCTTGACATTCTTGTTGTCATGCATCGACGCTATCCATCCGTCTCTAAACGCTTTCCATTTTGAATAATCACCATTGAAAGTACCCCAGGTATTTGGAATGTTACCTGTCGCATCTGTTTGTTGTACAGGGTGCGCCATAATAACTGTCCCTTTTATTTCTAGCCAAAAAACACAGAAATTTGAATCAAATCGAGATATAATTTTATTCGATATAAGAATGAGGTATAGAGATTATGATTCAGCCTTTGACTTTAATTCTTCCCCCCCTTTCTCAGATTACCAAACGCAAACGTTTCGAAAACGATTGACACGCGGCACGCACCATATCAATGGGAATTTCGTTCCAAATTTTTATTATTTTCTTTTTGAATGCATCCAAAGTGGTTCGTTTCGTAATTTTCAGATCATTGAGCTTCGACGACATGTATCCCCAAGCAAAAAAATCGAGCGGGTTCAAGTCAGGAGACGATGGCGGCCATGAGTCTCTGTCAATGAAATCAGGCAAATTCGTGCGTAGCCATTGTTGTGTCGTATTTGCACGATGTGCGGGTGCACCATCTTGTTGAAATACCCATGGTTCACCTCTGAATAGTCTTTGAGACTGTGGCAATAACTTTTTACGCAATATTTCTCGAATATATACTCTGGCATTGATTTTTACGCCTTCTTCGACGAAAACCAGTGGAAATTTGTCGTCGGCCGACATGGCGGCCCAAACCATCAATTGTGGAACATTTTGAATTCGTTCGATGGTTTTTTTATCTTCGGGAATATCAAGGATTGATGTTGCGTACACACGATCATTTTGCGAATTGAGGCTTGGCTGTAAAACGAACAATTTTTCATCTGAAAAAACAATGTTTGAGTTTGCGTGCCGGCGCAACAACTCTTTACATCTTTGCTTTCTGGCTTGTTTATTTTTGATTGTGAGACCATGTCGTCGACATTTTTTGAATGGATTCATATTCAGGTCTTCTGCCAAAACTCGTCGCATTGAAGTTTCACTGATTTTGTGCTCATAAGCCAACTTTCGTCCACTTCTTCGAGGTTCTCGGCGAATTTTCTCTCTCACTCGTTTGATGAGATTTTTGGTACGAACAGATCTTTTTCGTCCAGTTTTCTTCAATATATCAACGCTGCCACGTTCTTTGTATCGTTTTATTGTGCGCTTTACAAATTTCAAGTTGATATTTTCATTTTGTAGCTGTCGAAAAATATCAATTTGTCTCAAGCCCCGTTTGTGCAAATTTAGTACCAGTTGACGTTTCACATCCATTCTTATCGCAAGCTATACAGACACTGTACATAAATGCGCAGTATCATTAGAGTTAGAGTAAACACCAATAAACATAACGGTAAACGACAGAGTGAATCGCAAGACATTTGAGTATTAAAACAAACGATTGAAAAAAAGGGACAGTTATTATGGCGCACCCTGTACTTGAACGCATATTTTATCATGGGTCACTTGATTTGCTTGAATTACTGACGATCCGCTTATTTTGTCTAGTTGATCGCTTAATCTTGCTTTGAGCGTAATTAGAAGATCTTCTATCTGTTCATCTTCGACCGCATTTTCTTGTGCCACTGCATCGTCTTCACAAATTATTTGCATATTAATTTGTGTCAACTCTTCATCTAGTTTATTCAACTTTTTTACGCGTTCGCTCAACTCGCCTTTCGACCATGTGCTTAAAGTTGTTTCATTTTCAACTTGGCTTTGAATACGCTTTATTGATTTAATATGAACATTACGCTTTGTTTTTGATGCATTTATTTCAGACATTGTAGCTTTGCTTGCCAGCCGACTTGCTCTTCTGGCTGGTGCGCTTGACATAATTCGCTTAAAATTTGCTTATTTCACCTTTGCCTGTTTTCAAACGCTTTATAATTTTTATTTTGTTTTAAAATAACAAGAAAAATCACTATCGGTACGCTTTAATATTTTAATGGCAGTTTAGTTCCAAAAAGAAATAATATTTCGATTTGCTTTAATTCGTTATGAAGAAAAAAATAATTGTTCGGCAAATATTACGTGTTCACTGGTTGATGTTCAATAAGAAAGTGATATTTACGTCACACTCAAAACTTCCCTTGTTGAGAGCGTATCTGTGACGCTATAACTTCTGTACAAGAGCGAAAGAGACGGGGAATTATATGAAGAGACACGACAGAACACGTCTGCACATTTGTCGTTTTGTCTCTTTCGAACGCATTGCTTTGGTCTCCTTCACATCTTGATGTTATATACACTCTTCAAATTTCTCACCGCCCAATACCACGATGCCTATGCATATGAATTGTGAAATCATGATTTGCTTTTCTTGGAACTGGATCAAAGTAGCCATAGCATGGTGGTTTGCTTGTATCTGAGTTCGCATTTATTTCTCGTGTAACGGACACAATTTCGACGCATATAATCCTATGCTTGTTTTGCACATGATTTTGTGACCGAAAATTTGCATTGTCAAACTCTTATTGATAAACCGCATACGTACTGCATTGAAATTGCTCTGAATATATCGCATTCGCATTACGTTTATTGCCTTATATAAACAATATTTTATGACGCTTACGCTTTGATTTGCTTCACTCTGTTTGCTTAAATCTTTTCTCTAATGTGCATCGCATACTATTTTGAATTAACAAAAAAAGAAAAAGAGTGAAATTGCTATAATTTGTTTCGCTTAAAGAACAAAGGTCAAAGTGCTTCGTTTATTTCTATCACAATGAGCATTGCTTCATACGCCTATCAGATTGATTCCCTGTTTTTTGCATAATAAGGAAATAATGTTTGCTTTGCTTTGCTTTGATTTGATAAGTATATTTCATTTTGCTTCGCATCGCATCGTGCGCCTCAGTCTTCTTAGCATCTGAAAAATTTCAATTTGCTTTTCAAAAAATGTCAAGTAATCACTGTACGTTTTCATATTGACACCGTCGTTTTTTCCGCATAAAATGTTCTCATTCGATTTTTTTTCATGAAATGACGCTTGACCAACTGTCTGTACTGCTTGATACAAACCTTTTTTCTTCTTTTCATTGAAATCAATTCGATTTTTTGTCTTTAAACATTTTCGACAGTGAATTAATGTATTGGAAATTTTTCCTAAAAATTCTGAAGACTTGCTTTGTACCACGTGGTTTCAACGCTTAATTCGTTTGAACAACAGTGTGAATAAAAATGCTTCTTTGTTTCTGTGTAATAGGAAACAACAGTTGCTTTGAAATTGTGCATCGCATTTTGAAATCCACTTCTTTGAAGACAGACAGCATTTGTCATTTTAACGCATTATTTGTCGCATATTTACATCTACTCTTGTTTGATATTTCATAACGCCTGCTTCAATCATCTTGCATCGACAAAAATTCAATTAGCTTTTCTAAGAATCATTGTCCGCTTGTTAGTTGAAACAATATCGTTCGTTCGCATAAAATGTTCTTATTCGAATTTTTTCATGGAATAACGCTTGACTAACTGTTTGTACTGCTTGACACAAACCTTTTTCTTCTTTCCATTAAATCAATTCGATTGCGTCAATCTTGAATAATTTTAGCAATGAATACTATTCACTGTAAAAAATATTTCTTTTTAATATTCCGATACTTGCTTTTAACTTCAACGCTTAAGAAATGTCAATAAATTATAATTAACTTTATACGCATAAGAGTGGTCTTCTTTGCTTCCGTGTAATTGGAAACATTTACCGTTTTGATCTGAATTTCCGTAATTTTTTGAGATTCATTTTACTTCATTGCTTTGTTATTTTAACGCATTATTTATCGCATATTAATTGCACAGAAATTTGTTTCAAATGAATCATAAACGCATTGACAAAACCCAATTTGCATACAAAACGTAAGACACTTTGTTTATTTGCATTGCTTTCATAGAGTTTTTGAAATTGATCACATAGATATCAGTAGGCTTTGACGCATATTTCTTTGCTTGATTTTCGTTGCTCTGACTTGATTTTGCATTTATTCGCATTCGATCAATTTTTTGCTTGTTGGTTGACCAGACACCGGAGAGAGAGAGAAAGAACACACGCTTTATTTATTTATTTTGCATCGAATTAAGAAAATAATTTTTCTTCAGAACAGAAACATCATTGCCAAGAACATTGAAACGCATTACAGTAAGTGATGAAACTTCTGTGTATTTTTCTTGGAAGGAGTTTCGTTCGATCGCATTTCGATGACATTTTGCATAGTTCTTTATTTAAAAAAAAAAAAAAAACACTTGTTTGAGAATTACTGTACGCATGAATATTTTGAGCATCATCGATTCTTCACTAATTGAGCAGTTTGAGTATTACTTTTTATAATTTTACGCTTATTTTGCTTATTTTGCTTTAAATATTTTTTTTTAATTCGATTCACGCTTCACTTTGTATATATTTGATTATAAACACAAAATCGCTTTGCTTCACTCAACTAATTAATTTTAATCGATTCGAAGGACCATGTTCGGAGTCAGGGAACAAATATAATAATAATAAAATACAATGTAATTCTTCTTCTTGTTTCTCTTTATTGTTCTCTCTCTGATGGTCTTATATCAACTAACTACTTAATACTAAACGTCAGTCGGTCTCTCGCGTCACTCTATCGCGTATGCTTGTGCTGTGTATGTGTGCCTGTGCTTATATGCCTGTGTGTGCGTGATTGTGTATGAGCGCTATGTTCTCTCGCTTACGCCTGTGTATGTACGCTTCTAACACATACAAGCCTCCCATGTAAATGGTGAAAAATTGCGAAAAATGAAAAAAATAATTAAATTTTTTTTCTTCAATTCTCAAATACTACTCAACTTTCTGTATCACCTGGTGAAATCAGAATGAAAAAAATCGCGTTCCTTATCATTCAAATCACGATCTGGATTTTTTTTACATTTTGAGTGCTCTATACCGAGTCTCCGAGAGTTTCATATAAACTTGCTATGTGATACCCATTGAATAGTGACCGAATGCCAATCGCGATTTTGATGATAAGGAATGCGATTTTTTTCATTCTGATTTCACCAGGTGATACAGAAAATTAAGTAGTATTTGAGAATTGAAGAAAAAAAATTTAATTATTTTTTTCATTTTTCGCGACTTTTTCACCATTTACATGGGCGGCTTGTATGAAAAACACGGAAGACAGCTGAAATGGCAAACGCCAAATATATACGGAACTACAACAGTGCCATTTCAGCGGTCTTCCGTGTTTCATCATTTAGCTTAGCTATTTGATATCAGATAGCTTAGCTCCCGAACATTTTTCCGCGGAACTTTTCTACATCACGTTCTTCCTTTAACCCTTTCAAATAGTGTAATAAGTACTTTTCAAAATAGATAGAATTCTATATTTTCTTTATAATTAAATTAATTTTTAATTTCTGAATAAAAGGAAAAACATTGGATGGGCCACCCAGCTCCGCACCAACCGATATTCGAGTTGGTATTATCAACATAACAGCAGCGTATGTGAGATGGTCACCGCCACCTCAAAATATGCTCAACGGTGAACTGATTGGTTATAAGGTATATATAAAATATATATATACGAAAACATTAACAAAAACTGAACAAATAATTTGGAAACTAAATAACAAAAACAATTGGAAAAACGATCAGTTGTTTTTCATTCTCTTTTTACAACATGTTTTCTGCCGGCAAAAAATTGATTTTTTCGTTAAATTTTTAATTCATATAGATTCAAATCAAGTCAAATGTAACAAATAAATTGCTGGGACAAATGTCTTTAAATGCTACGACGCAATCGGTAGTAATAAATAGCTTGAATCCAGGTGGTCGATACACAGCTCGAGTCGCAGCACAAACAGCTGGTGGCATGGGACCATACAGTACACCAGCTGCATTACATATGGATCCATCATTTATTTCCCGTCCGCCAAAGTAACTTGAACGCAAAATTAACAAAAAATACACTGTAGTGCATGATACAAACGATTATAGTCTATGGGGCAGACACAAGATTTAAGATCTATTCAGATTTCGAAATATTTTAATGATTGAAAACAAATAGAGAGGGGTGAGCAAAAAATCCCATTCAGTGTAAGTCCCATTTCGGAAATGAATGAAAGAAGGTTTGGATTCCACTGAAAAAAAGTGAAGAGCAAAATACTTTGAAAATACTACTGTGATCAAAAAGTAAGACCAGTTTTCAATTTAAAATTTACGGGGAAAACGAATTACGAAAATCTTCTTGCTATCTTGTTTGTAGCACTGTCGTCGACATCTGTGCAAAATTTCATGTCAGTATCTCCATGAGGTTTTGAGTTACGTCTGTTCGTTTACATCAAGAAATTTTCATTTGGCGATTTTTATGAAACAAATAGTCAGATTGTTGATGTTTGAGTAAACACACAGAGAGAAATAATGTTTAGATTATTGGTAGAAATGATTTTTTTTTCTTAAATCTGTACAAAAATTAAGATAACTCAAAAGAAATTTATTTATTATTAAAAAAATATTTCTTCAATGTAAATAAATATTGCGATACACATTGATCAACGAGCGCCAAAATACATCACAGCCTTCTCCCTTCTGACGAGAAAACAACAATTGTATGGCTACACTCGGACGGTGAATATACAGAATGCAACCACTACTTATGCAAACAACGTCGTTGTTTGTGTCTTACATGCTTCCACTGACTCGCCAGAAGAAGTGATGTCTATGTATTAATTGACTATATTTGCCGTTCAAATGTAAAATTCAACTACTACACAGTCATCACAGTGATTCTATTGGTCAGTGGAAGCATGTAAGATACAAACAACAACGTTGTTTGCATAAGTAGTGGTTGCAATCTATATTGTTGCCGTTTGAGTGTCATACAATTGTTGTTGTTCTTTTACGTGAAGAGAGTAGACTGTGTAAGATGATGTATCTTGGCGCTCGTCGATCAATGTGTATCACAAATATTTATTTATTGGGTGTGTCATTTAATTTTAAAGGATTTTTGGGTGAAAAGACACATTTATTTAAAAAAAATCGTACAATATTTTTTAACCAATATATTCCCCATCGTTAGCTATGACTTCTGCCCATCTTTTTGGTAACTTGTCGATTCCACGTCGGAAGAATTCCTCATCTTTTGACGATATCCATTCATCGATCCATTTTCGCACTCCTTCAGCATTTCGAAACGATATCTCGGACAAGCCCATTTGCATCGATCGAAACAAGTGATAATCAGAAGGAGCAAGGTCTGGAGAGTACGCGGGTTGATCAAGCCGATCCCATCCGAAGTCTTCTACCTTTTTTTTAACGATGGCCCACCAAATACACAGCATAACCTTCTGGCAATGAATGTCTCGTTTTGACTGCGATGGTCCTGGTTGGCCTGGATCAACATACGCTGCTTTACGTTTGGGGTTGTCGTAATACACCCACTTTTCATCGCCAGTAACAATTCGATACAAAAAACTGTGTTTTTTGTGTTCTTTGAGATTTTTTTGCATGCTTCAATTCGTGCTCTCAATTGGTTTTCATTCAGTTGATGTGGCACCCATTTCCCTAGCTTTCGAATCTTTCCCATTGCATGCAAACGTTCACAAATGGTTGTTCGGGAGACATTCAACTCCAAACCAAGTTGTTTTTTAGTTCGACACGAATTTTCATCCAATAATGCTTGCAAATCCTCATCTTCAAACTTTTTTGGCTGACCTGGTCGTTCTTTGTCCTGCAAGTCAAAATCACCACTCTTGAAGCGTCGAAACCAGTACTCACAGGTTGAAATCGATAGAGTATGGCCGGAACCATAAATTTCAGACAGTAATCGATGGCTCTCAGTGGCATTTTTCTTCGAATTAAAGAAGAAAAGTAAAACTTCCCGCAAATGCTGTTTTTTTGGAACGTATACTGACATGATTGTAAGCGAAAAATCACTTTTATCGATAATCTAAACTATATTTGTCTGTGTGCACTTGGCATATTTAGCCTTTTTTTTCAAACAACTTCTTTGAGCAAGTTTTTGGTATTGACCTTAGCTTCCCCTCTGATGAATATAGGGTATCAATTACGTTGTACTTCAGGCATAGAGTACCAAAATGAGAAAATATGTCAAAAAATGAGAATTTGGTGAACTTTTGGCAAATTTAATCCCGAAATATGATTTTTTCGTATCTTTATCTGAATGAAATTGGTTCTCTCTTATGATATCATTACTCCCATACAGTTTTCACTTGACAGATATAAACTTTTCTGAAAATATTTATTGAATGTTTCGAAAAACCCATGAAGCTCAAGAATCGAGTTTTTCGTTTGTTCGATAGAATTGGGTTTCTGGAGTGAAATGTTGACCAACATTACTGTTTGAAGACTGAATTTGTTGGAATTAGTAGTAATTTAACAATTCTGAATATTTTTAACAAAATCCATATCTAAAGTACACATTTTTTATGTGTTTAAATGCAAAAATAGTGAATCGCCAAATGAAAATTTCTTGATGTAAATGAACAGACGTAACTCAAAACCTCATGGAGATACTGACATGAAACTTTGCACAGATGTCGACGACAGTGCTACAAACAAGATAGCAAGAAGGTTTTCGTAATTCGATTTCCCCGTAAATTTTAAATTGAAAACTGGTCTTACTTTTTGATCACAGTAGTACTTAGGCTGGAACACTTCGTTTGGAGGATTTTGATCAGATTGTATATTCGTACTGATTTCAGCTGGCATAGGAATGTCTAAGTGCATAGATATGCTTAGTACATAACAGTATAGTCCAAATATTATTTTGAATTAATAGTTTCATCATTTACATTATGAAAAAATAAGTGAAGAAAACTTCTTATTAATAATAAAGCGAAAATAATATAAAAATGAACCCTTGCCCTTCGATTTGGGTCATGCTAACGTTTTCGGAAGCAATGTTTCCATCATCAGGCGAGCTATAAAACACATGACCCAAATCGAAAGGCAAGGGTTCATTTTTATATTATTTTGACGCCCGTCCTCCGAATTAGGTCATTCAGGGCAGCTGAAACTATATGCCAATGGAAACTACATGAGTATGCGTAATATCTGTATAGGTGACATCAAAAACTTTGATTCACACTTTGGGTACTTTACTGGTAAGCATTTCTACGCACCTAGAAATATCGGTGCTTGTTGAAATCAGTGCAAGCACACAGTCTGGTTTTGATTTGAATTTGTTCAAGATTTGGAAAATTGGAAATGATTCACGAAAATTTGTCTACCCAATAGTTTCTATCTTCTGAAATTAAGAAAACTTAAGGAATTTGTGCACATTTCTTCGTTGATGTAATGAAATCATTTGAAATATTTTGTTAAATTTTACGTTTTTGATACAGAACTGATCCAGCTGTTGCAATGTGGGCAACAACCTGGATGTCTGGAATTGCATTGGCCATTCTTGTGATAACATTAATCAGTGCAACCATATTTGCACTGTACTGGGCCCGAAAGAATAAACGCAATATGAAAGCATCGTACGGTACGGTTACTTTTTTTTATCACAATGACTTTTATTTATTGGAATATCTTACACTGTAATAAATTTGACAGAAAATATGGCAGCACTGCATTGGAATAGCTATTTTTCACCCAAAAAATGCATAAATTATACAATATGCACATCCCAATGGAATGACACCAGGGTTGGACATGTCAAGTACATTTTACCTATTTGATTGAAAAACCGTCAATTCCAAAGCGGGGTTGCAAATTTTTTTGTTACGTTTATGACAGTGTAAAAGAGTTTTATTTTATTTACATAAGTACTCTTTTTGAAGTTTGAATTCGAATTTCAAGAGGCTATTTGAAATTCTATTCTTTGTTCTAATTTAAGACAGACTTCTGTCAACGAGCGTCCGTTCGTTCGTAGCTATTTTTTTCGTTTTTTTGTTCGTTTTGTTCGTTTGTTTTTAGGAATATGTTCGTATCTTTGAAAAAATGCTAAAAACATATTCCTTGTCAAAACCAAATCGGAAAGATTAATACTACCTGAGACTCTTTTTAGCGATTATAAAATTTTAGTTTTCAAAAACAATTCTTTACTGCACACAGTGGTTCAAGCACTGATTTAAGATAAAACGGTCACAATAAAATGCAGAATAAAATGATTTAATTTTTATTTTTAACACAATTTTTCTTCCAAATAACAGGACCAGGAATTTTAACCGCAAATACTTTGGTTGATAAACAGCAGACACTATGGATGCATGGCAATACACTAGTAAAACCAATACATTCAGTAGCCATTCAAGATGCAAATCTTTCCTCTGAATATGCTGAAGTAACACAAATAATGCCAAAAAAAAATTTGCCATCGGTGCCACCAGAACCGTATGCAACAGTAAGTAAAACATAAAAAATAATTCAAAAAATAAGCTTATGGTTCACATAAAAATGGTAATATAACACAGAAATGAAAATGATTGATTTTTTAGGTGACTTTGCAGCGCGGTACTCAATCAGATGATTCATGTATAAAATGTTCGACGAGTCCATCGTCAAGTGAATACAATTCCCCAATGATTCGTGAGTCATGTGATGTATTGCCTCTGCCACCACAACCACCATCGCCACTTGACCATCCTTATCATCCGCCAAATATGTCGAACATGACAATACGCACAAATCCGGTGGCAATGTCACCAATATGCCGTCGTACTGCCACTCAGTCACATTGGCCAACACTTCCTCCACCAGTGCCACATTTAATTTGGCAACAACCACAACAACAACCATCACAGCTACAACCACAACACCAATCTATAAATGATCAACAAATAATTTATAAATGTAATCGAAAAAGATCACCGGAAATTGAGGTGGAAGAGAATGATTATGAAAGTGGGTCGGTTTTGTACGAAGAATGCGATCAAAATTTAGCAACGAATTTTTTCAACTATGGGGGAGAACCGACTGAGGGTAAAAATTAGATTCTTGTACCATTTCATTTATCAATATTAGATTTCTAGCTAATTTTAACATCATTTTCATCTAAATAGAATATTATCGGAACATTAATATTAATATGGAATTTTTGAATGAAAACGAACTGGAACAATCCAATCCATGCCTAGATACAATGCTAAAAAATCGGCATAAGCCACGAAATGATCAAAGTCCAGTAAACAGTCGAAGATCAGGACGTAAACAAAGTGCGGATAGCAATCAGAATTCCAATGATGATGATTCCACGAGCGAAAGTGATAATAATCGTTGGCCATCACGTCTGCGGCGCAGCCGTTCCAAAAGTAGTGATCGCAAATATCGAAACGGTCGAACACGCCGTGAATAGTCTCTACAAATAATAAAAATCTCATCTATTAAAAAATATCAATACATCATCATGCAAAGATTTATTTATACAATTTACAATACATACATAAACCTGGTAATATATTTATATGGTTTTAGTAACTTCTGACTAATATGAGACTGTCGATGAATTTTGAGATCTTCCAAATTTCGTCGAAATTACTTCTTCACTGTCTTTGATTAGTAAATTACTTCAAACATAAGTGTGAAATCGCGGTTTCGCACATCATTCATTCTCAACCACTCATATTATAAGCATATTATAAATTTATGAATTGAGTTGATCTGAAATCCCATTGAAAAAAAAAATCTATGGAAAAAATGTTAACGTTCTAGATCAAGAGCCTCTTACTCTAACAAGTAACTTTTATTTTAGCTTTATGCCAGAAATCTATATTGAACCATGCAGCTAGACATGCATCAAACAAATAATTTTACGTTTATCACTACAGCCACCCATCATTCGTGAAATCGCGGATAGAATACACATCAACTATTAAAGCGAGCTGCATTGTTTTAATATTCTCCGGTTAGAATTTCTGCATGAAACAACATTAGAAAATCTGCACGAATAAATTGTGTAAAAAACTATCTGTAGTGATAAAAGTAAAATTATTTGTTTGGTGCATATCTAGCTGCATGGTTCAAATTATTTTTTATGACATAAAGCAAAAATTGAAGTTACTTGTTAGAGTGGTTCTTGGTATATTCTATTTTCAACGGAATTTTGGGTCACTTTAATTCTTACACCGTTTAAATATGTACTAGCATAAGCCAATCTCAAATTCATAACGGTATGTGCGGTTATAATGTAAATATGCATTCATCATAATGAAAACATTAATTTTAAAGTTCAACTGGATTTTTTTGTGCACCAGTTGAAACAACACCGATACGGTAATCACATTTAGTATTGTTAGAACATTTTGAAATAGTGCATATCTATATCTTTCTCTCCCCAGCTCTCTCCATTTTGTTTTTACTTCATAGAGATGAAATGTCGAGAAACGTTTAATGACTGTCGTAGATTAAATTACTATTGTGATCATTTTCCGGTAGGACTTTATTTAAAAAAAGACAAGTATACATTTATTCTTCCAAATCAATATTATCGCCTTCAAAGTAATCCCCGCCCGTTGCAATGCACTTATGGCAACGTTTTTTCCAATCTTCGAAACACTTTGAAAAGTCATTTTCCGGTATGGCCATCAATTCATGCTTCGATTTGTCTCTAATCTCTTCAATCGACTCGAAACGGTGTCCACGAAGCGGTCTTTTGAGTTTAGAGAATAGCCAGAAGTCACACGGTGCTAAGTCAGGCGAATACGGCGGTTGCGGAACGATGTTAGTCGAATTTTTGGCGAAATGGTCACGAATAATCAATGCAGTGTGAGCCGGTGCATTATCATGATGCAAAAACCAAGAGTTGTGGTCCCATTAATTTGACCTTTTGAGACGAATGGCTTCACGCAAACGACACATAACACCTAAATAATACTCTTTGTTGACAGTTTGGCCGGTTGGAAGAAATTCATAATACACCACACCACGATAATCGAAGAAAACTGTCAACATTACTTTGATTTTTGAGCGACTTTGACGAGATTTTTTCGGTTTTGGTTCACCTTTCAAACGATATTCGCTGGGTTGATCGGCTGTTTCGGGGTCGTAGGCATAGATCCAAGTCTCATCTCCCGTAATGATGCGTTCCATGATCGATTCATAGTCAGAAATCATTTCTTGACACACATTTACACGACGCTCTTTTTCGAACAAATTCAATGTTTTTGGTACCAATCGAGATGCACAACGACGGAAGCTCAAATGGTCTTTCAAAATTATTTGGATCGACCCAAACGAAATGCCAGTAATGTCAACAAGGTCTCTAATTGTTAATCGACGATTTTTCAGCACAAGATCTTTGATTTCCTTGACGTGTTTTTCATCAGTTGATGTTGAAGCTTTGGTGCTCGCAATTGTGCTCGCGTTCTCTGCCTTCTTTGAACAACTTATGCCATTCAAACGCACCTGATCTTGCCATGCACTGCTCACTAGGGGGAGATTGCGAAGTTGTTTACAAGAAGAATATAAACAAATATATACGACTATGCCACCAATATATTCCAATATACTTAACAAAATACTCTAGCTATTAGAGTATTACTCTAGTTACTTAAACGACTCACTGTAAAAATATTATTGAAAAGAAAATGTTTCAATGAAAAATCGAAAAAATGGTTTTTTCTTGATTTGTATAATTAAAAAAAAATGTTTAATTTTATTTTTTTATTTTTTATTGTGTGTTTTATTTATTTATTTATCCGTGGATTATGTACATTAAACTAATTTTGAACAATAAGTTCATTGTGTAAGAGTACTAGATTTGTACTAAAACTAGTACTAAAATCTAGTACCAAATATCAACGAAAATTTTATACTTGACATAACCTCTTTTTTGACCACATTTATTTGAAGCGTCAATGGGAAATTGGCTGACGAAAATGGGGAATTGGCCCTCCAAAAATGGGGAATTGACCCCCCAAAAATAGGGAATTGGCTGTCAAAAATGGTGCGTTTGGTTGTCAAAAATGGGGAAATGGCTGTCAAAAATGGTGCGTTTGGTTGTCAAAAATGGGGAATTGGCTGTCAAAAATGTAGCTTTTGGTTGTTAAAAATAGGAAAATTTGGCTGTCAAAAATGGGGAAATTGGCTGACAAAAATGGGGAAATTGGCTGTCAAAAATGCGTCGATAAAAAAAACGAAAAAAATGTGTAAAAATGTCTTGAAAGTAAGAAAAAGTAATATTATTCGATGCAATTTGATACTTTAATTACATTATCTTTCTTATGGTTTTTTGTCTTTTCTTCATTTCGTTGTTCCCCCGCTAGGGCTATCAATGAAATTCAATTATTCTTTGTTCCATCTGCTCGACAGCCAATTCCCCATTTTTTACGGCCAATTCCCCATTTTTGACAGCCAATTCCTCATTTTTGGCAGCCATATCCTCATTTTTGACGGCCAATTCCTCATTTTTGACAGCCAGTTCTCCATATTTGACAGCAAATTCCTAATTTTGACAGCCAGTTCCCCGTTTTTGGCAGCCAAATCCCCATTTTTGGGGGGCCAAATGCCCCATTTTTGACAACCAAACGCACCATTTTTGACAGCCAATTCCCTATTTTTGGGGGTCAATTCCCCATTTTTGGGGGGTCATTTCCCCATTTTTGTCAGCCAATTTCCCATTTTTGACAAACGTTTACCCTTTGCCTTTCGATAGCAATAGTTTCAAACAATACGTATGTATAGTCGTTGACAAAACAATGTTCCAAAAATACATACAAAAATACAAACACTAAAGCAGCATTTTCTGTAGCTTATTTGTATGTTGATGTTTGTTTTCATTTGTATTAGTTCATCTAATTGCGTATATACAAATTATGAATTCCATGAGTTTCAAGTTATCCATTTGGTGCCTCAAAATTTTAAGCATTGCATTAGTTCAGTGGTTACGCTTACGGTGCATGACACTGAAAGTCTCAGGTTCGATTCCGTGTGAAAACAATTTTTTTTTCTTTCATCTTTTTTTCTTATTTTTTTTATTTCATAGTTT